GGGAGGTGGGGCTTTGGTGCCAGGCTGCCGAGTGACATGATGGTGGCTTTTGCTGCAGGGTAACAGGCGGACACTTCTATGCGCCTTGGCATTGTTATGCAACAGTCCCTTTGTACCCTATGCCATTGCTGAGCAGGTTACTCTTTTATGCCACATTTCAGTACAGCAAGAAGATGTGCTTGAGGTGTCACCGGGGTGCACCAGATTTGTCCCCAAGAGGTGTCACCCTAAATTGCCTCTGTTTTAAAAGCAGTCTCTCTTGTGCCGTTTTATTTTCCCAGTGAACACTTGGTTGGTGATCAAAGATAGTGGAATAGGTAGGAATGGCCCTGGCTTGAGACCCAGCCTTGAGAACCGCAGACTGAAAATAGTTGACATCAATGAATCCAGAAAAGCTTGGTAACTCTGCCCCTTCCCACGCCCATAGTTGTGTGTCTTCCTGTGTTCATTGACAACTGATATCACTGGTGAAATGATAACAGTGGGGAACCTGCCAATAGTTGACATTTGTGAAGCGAAAGAGACAGCTCTTAACGCCAGATGTCCCTTCTCAATTCTCACTGGTCCACCTAATTTTCTCCTTATCGAGCCCCCTCTCAGCTTTCATCAACCCTTCTTAAATGTATCAATTTAAAGTATGAATCTGCACCACTGAAGCTGATGGGAGCAGGAGCAGGCCCCTCAGATTTGTTGGGGGAAAGGGAGTTGTTTGACGCTTACAACTTAAAAACCCAGCTTTGATTTGAAAATTAAATTTGGCATCAGTGATGTAGAGTAATTGCTTTTTGCTGTTGTTGTATATAATAATATAATCAAAGTGGCTGAAATATTGTTTATTATTGTAATGTTATTAAAGATAACGAGGACCTTGTGACTAATGCACATGCACAGTGCCTACATAGGAGTTTTTATGATTAGAGCTATGAGGACCACCAACCCGCCATCAGATATTAGCAGCAGTGTGTGACTGCCAAGCTGGGTAAAATGAATGCAGTGATTACATGATGCTGCTTTTCTGGAGTAGAACGTAATAACCTTAGAATAGATGTTACAGGCATGCATGTATATGCATGCTCACACACACATTGGAGCGTGCTCCTGCTTTGTGTCCTCACAGTTATTCTAGGTGACATCAGTTTGGCACTGCCAGAGTGCTGGTATGTCAAAGCCTATCATGGTTGGTTCCATCAGTACAAAAATCTTCTTTCTTCTCCTCCTCTCAGTTACACAGTTTAGGTTCCCTTTTAAGCTGAGAGGAGACCTTTGAAGTATGAAACGTTTCTGCTGGATTCCACCGGGTGCAGTTGGCTGGATCAGCAGGCAGAACCATTACAGAATCATGTCATCTGTTTAAAATTTGCATCTTGTACAGTTTCAGGGAGTGATTGTGCCTTTCATTTTATTTGATGTTTTAAATAAGAGGAAAAGTTGGTATGGTTGCTTCTGTCTCCTAGTATCCTCCTTTCATACTCATTTTGTTCTCATCACTTATTCCAATTTAGGCCATCAGATCAAGCCATTCTAGGTCTTCCTGAAGAAGGTGGTTGCAAAATACACTACACTTTAGTTAGCAAACACAAACACCCACTTAGCAGAGGCCAGGCGGTCCAGTGAAGAATCACACTCCATTCTGCTGGGAAGTCTGAAAGTGCTAATCTTAGCCTCCTGTGTTCACTAACTGGAAGCACAATTAACAGCTAATAATTTGGAGCCATGTAAATAGAGAATGAGAATATTCTGCTAGTGCCCCATTTCTGCAGACTCGGGGGTTTTAGCTAGTTTGGATAAACTCAGGCTACACATGCAGACTTCAAACCCACCCAAGCATGCAAACCCAGTCCAAATGCCACCCATTTTAAGGGCACCCATCCCTAGTTAAGAGACCAGGCCATATTCATGCCTACTGTAACCTCGCATGGATGTCAGTGGGGATATGCCAAGAATGAGTCTGGCCCAGCATTAGGATTCACTGTGCGACTGCCTGTCTTCAAAGACCACACTGAAATATAGACTCATGGACTTTAAGGCCAATCTTCAATCCTGCCCCCATCTATTTTAGCAGGCTATATTCTTTAAGCAACTGATTGGGGGGAGAGAGGGAGTGTCCCACACGATGAAAAGGGGTGTAGCCAATTAACCCCCACCCAGTACAAGAGGGAAGGTAGTTCCAAGCCCTGACCCAGCTCTCTCTAGTTACATGGTTAATTGGCGACACCCCTTTTCGTGGTGTGGGATACTTTTCACTTACACTGGATACTCACAGGGTATTTGTGCCTGCCAGACACCCCATCACTCATGAGCGCACCATAGGTGCGACTGGAACTTTTCTTATCTCTGGCCAGATCGTGTGACATGTCCTGAGTCTGCCTGGCTTTCTGAGGAGGTTAAGGCCCTGTATTTAGTTCCTCTTTTTCTTTTCCCCACCCTCCAGCTTAGCTAGCGAAAAATGTGATCAGTTTCTTGAGAGGTGAGTTCACAGCTACCCACGTATTGGCTTGCGGTAAGGTAATGGAGTTTGCTGCCCTGGAAACTGGATGAGCTGCTGCTAGCAAAAGGAATTATTTGAGCTGATGGTGGTAATCGAATGCTGACAATAGGAGGGAAAAGGGAAAGGAAAAGAACTGACACTTCTAAGCAGCCGGCCGGGATGCTGTGCATACAGATGGGTGCAGGAGCCGGTTTTCTGTTTGGTTCATTACAGGGGTGCACATCAGAGGCAGGCAGGTTGAAGGGAAAGGAAAAGTGAGTGTGTATACAGAGCACCAGCAGAAAGGAGAAGGCTAGTTAAAAGGACCGTGTCAAAATAGGTCAGGCTAGAAAGGGGCCCATTCTGATGATGGTGAGGGTTAGAAAATTCACTGTACAAATGGCCCCTTCTTACAGCTCAGAACTGTTTCATGTGTGTATTTGTAGCCAGATCAGCCAGACGGGGACAAAAGTATGTTCTCATTCTCTCTCTCTCTAACTCCTCTTAGCCCTGCAGAGCTACTGGAGAGGGAGCTGGGTTCTACTCCGCCTTGTGCATCAGCTGAAGAGTCATGAGCTACGTACTGACCTGCGAAGCCATCTTCTGCCCAGGTAAAAATCTGAAGGGGGAGGTCGCACTCCTTAGAGCCACAACTGGATCTCATGCCTCCTGCATGGGAGACAGGGTCAACCATGTCCATGGCACCAACCACCCCTCCCTTAGACTCCATGGAAGTCTCCTCAGATTGTGGGCTCCACCCCTGGGGCGGTGAGATTTTGCCTCGGCCCCATTGCCAGCCCTGAGGACAAAGCTCAAATAAGTTGCTACAGCCAGAGGCTCTTTTGGGGAACCTCCTCTGCACTGGGCAGTGTCCCTGCACGGGGGGAACTCTGGGGGCATCTGCCAACTGGGGAAGCCCTCACAGGGCAGCGTCACAAAGAGTGGGGTGAAAGACATCGGGCGGGTGCAGCCTTGTGCCTGGAGCAAGTCTGAGACCCACACAGCTGCCAGGAGATCTGCAGGGCTTGGGAGCAGAACCTCCTAGGTCTTCCTTCAAGAAGAGCCTCACCCAGTTTTCCTTCCCTGTCCTATGGTTTTCCCCTCATAGGAGGGAACAGCTCAGGTTTGTAGTGAATGCCCCATTAAGAACAACGGGCCAGTCTCTGATCTCACTTACGCTGTAAATCTGGTAAGTCAGTGGGCCAGATCCTCAACTAGTGCAAACTGGGCTGGCTCCATGGAAAGCTGATTTACACCAGCCAAAGATCCTGCCCTAGGAGACTGCACTTTTTTCATTTCAGCCTTGCTGAATGCATCGCATTCATTATCTTCCCTCCTAAGATTCAGTTCTCAGTGATTTTATAGTGTGACCTGCCCCTTCAGCAACAATCCCTGCAAAACTCCAGCTACGTTAGCCTGATCAGTCTGTGCAGTGGAAATATGTGTTTGAATTGCATGTTGAAGCTGGCAAGCACTCCTGACCACATGTACTGTTATATGGGAGGAGATTTATCTTCTCCTAAGGGGGGACTGGCTTTCAAAACACAAAGTACAGAGCAGTTCCAATCTCATGTGTGTTATTTTGGCACTAACACTGCAGCTATTTAAATGATCCACAGTGACAGCAGAATTTATGTTAAAATGGGAGGATAAAATTGGATTGGAATTGGATACTTGTCACTCAGACGTATCATTTGTCTCACTATTTCACACCTTATGGATGTTAAATTCCATGGTGCCTATAGAGTGACTGTTCTTAATTAAGCAAAAGTTATGTAAATGCATTGTAATTAATATGACATTAAAGTGGAATTAATCATTTACATTCAGTTGTGTTTGCAAAGTAGAAATAAACATGGATCTGTGTGTTATTGCAAGGCAGAAGTGAGCATGGACCATAAGCCGTGTGTACTCACAGTGGAGTAGCTATGGGTAAAGTGCACCTGTCAGTAAGATGGATCTTCATATAGTTATGGTGAATTGCCAATATTACCGTGATGTGTGGTCTAGCAGGAGGGAATGTTCTGTAGTGATTAAAGCAGGGAACTGCGAGTCAGGACTTCTGGGTTCTGTTCCCAGCTGTGGGAGAGTGTGTCCTCTAGTGGTCAGAGTGGGAAGCGGCGAGTCAGGACTCCAGGGTCCTATTCCAAGCTCTTGAAGGCAACATCCTCTAGTGATTAGACCAGGGATGGACAGTCAGAACTCAGGGGTTTTGCTGTTTGACCTTGGGCAAGTCACTTAACCACCCTCTGCCTCCGTTTTCCCCATCTGTAAAATGAGATCAACAATATTTATCCACACTGGGGTGAGTGAGGCCTAATTACTTAGTGTGTGCAACGTGCCTTGAGCTCTTCAGACTAAAGGTGCTATTCTATACACCTAGAAAGCATCATGATGTAGAGCCATTTTGATTCCTTCCTGCACTTGGAGCTCACTGTCTGATTTTTAAAGACATTTGAAAGAAACAAGTCATTTATTTAATTCATCTGCACATTTTATTAGCTCGCATCAGATTTTTTTCTTTTGAAGCACTTTACAGATTTAGTCTTGCAAAAGCGTAGACCTGTAGTCCAGCAAGCAGCATCACCCTGCTCTTCTGGGTCTGAGGATATCAGTTACCTGCAAGGAGAGGAAAGAACAAATTCAGTCCTTCATAGGCTCTCTCTCTCTCTCTATATATATATATAAATAATTTTTTCCAGTCCTTTATAAGCCACACATACATTACCCAGTCCTCTATATACAATACCCTGTCCTTTATAAGCCTTATACAGTCCTTATTCATTCTACAGTTCCCAGTCCTTTGCATACAATTCCCAATCCTTTAGAAGCCTCACATACAATTCTCAGTCCTTTACAGCTTTATGTGCAATACCCACCCTCCTCAACTTCCACTCTGGAAGAAATTATGACAAACTGAAACCAGCACAGTTGAATTGGAGCAGTAATCCCACAGAATGGGTGGAAGCACTGCTGCTAGGGTTATTTAAACCTAGACTGGATAAAGCCCAGAGAATTGACTGTAGATCACAATCCCGTACTGCTCCCCAACAGTGTCTGCATGAATTGACTAAATAACCTACTGTCACAGAATTTTTCTGCCTCTAGTTTTTACATACCGAGGGCCAGGTTATCAGAAGAGCTCAGGGCTAGGTTTTCAAGTGCTCAGCAACACAATCGGGGCCTGAGTTTCAGAGTTCAGCTCCCATTCAGACATCTAAATAGAGGCCAGAAGTCCAGAGAGCTCAACACCTAACTCCTTTGAAAATTTGGCCTCGATTGCAGGTGTTGAGCTGTTTGGCCAATGTGGCCTAATTTACGGATGCTGCATTCTACTGAAAATTTCACCCTAAATCCTGAGATCCTTAGTTGTTACTCACTGTTTACTTAGGGCTGGATTGTACAGTCCTTTTGCATACTGCTCTGCTGAGCTTTTACTCACGTAGTCCCATTGGGTTCAGTGGGGCGACTCGCATATGTGCACAACAGTGTGAATAAGAGATGCGTGATCTGGCCCTATGCCCTCGCTAAGGCAAACCCCATTGACTTCAGGGCTGAACAATTAGAACCTCAATTAGCCCTTAAGTTTCTGTGTATAGCAACATTCCCCCAAATACCTACAACTTGGCAAAACCAAGAGCCTGGTTCTGATCTCTGTCACACCCCTGTAAACTGAGAATATTTGCACTGAAGAGACTGGAGATACACTGATGTGTAACTGTTATAAAGGTACAATCCAGTGCTCATGGAAGACAATGAAAAGTCTCCCTTTGACTTCAGTGGGTGTTGGGACAGAAAGCAAAGGCTAAATTGTGGCTGTGCCATAAGCCTCATGTACAGGACAGCGTTGAGTTGTGCTGTCCAAGCAGTAGACTGGGAAGTAGACTGTGCCCCCTAGTTTCTCCTTCCTCTGTGGAGGTGTGGAGGGGAAGGGAACTTACACGGTGTCAGGCATACAGCTAGTGCAGTGTGTCACGACTGCACCTATATTTTCCCCTTGTGGTCCAGCAAGGGCACCCACTCTAGGCTCCCAGCTCCTCAGCCGTCACCTCTCTTGGGTGCAGATGGATTTCTCTCTCCCTCCTGACCGGGTTTTACCAGGCTGCACCGTCCCCTGCCTATACCGTGAGTTCCTCAGAAAGTCAAACTGACTAAACAGGTCTGGTTTGCTTCTCCCCAGAGGCTAAAAGGAACATAATTGCCCACAGGTACAAGCTACCGCACAACCCTTTCTAAGCAAGCACATTTATTCTTAAGGTGAAAGCATTACAGAGAAAACATTAAAACACTAAAAGAACCTACACATGTGCTAATAAGCCTACCAGAGATCACCCCCCCCCCAAGTCCAACAAGGGCTCTGGTAGAAGTCAGCCCTTCCAACCCCACCACGGGGTTTTTCTTTGGTTATAACTTCAGAACACCTTTTGCTCAGAACAAGAACCCTCATGAATAGGTCAAGTCCTTCCAACCCTTTCCAGGAAGGACTGGTGTGTCCCTGAGACAGAAGGTCCTATCCAGTTGTTGGATCAGAAAGTAGGCCCAGAGTCACTTTAAACTCAGGCTGTTTATCCAAAAGTCCTTTCTTTGTCTGCTGGTCTCTAGAGAATCCAATCTGAGCCAGTATAGGTGAGCCCTCCCAGGGAGTAGGACCTCTTGTGAGGTGTTCCAGTCTGAGTGAATTTGCCTCATCACCCACCCCTGTTCTTAGCTACTGGAGGGCTCCCTCAGGGAATTATATACAATCCCTGGCCCATAACAATGCATAATATTTAATACAGTAAGATCACCCATAGATATGCCATCTCTGACACACAGAGGATGTCCCCAGCATGCTGACACAACTGCACTGATTGCATTGTGGGGTGGAGCCCAAGCTCCACTCGCATATGTATGGGGACTGGCAGCCCCATGGAGGCTGCTATCCCCTCTGCGCTGGTACCCCTGGTGTGAGTAGACAGCTCAATGGAGTAAGAGGGGGTCTTACACCCTCTTTTAGTTCCCTTGGTTGGTGTGCAGGATGGGTCACACTCTGGCCTTAAGGGAAGAGAGAAGCAGACTCCAAAGCCCAGTATTTAGGTACCTAACTCCCACTGATTTCCCCTTAGCTATTCAGTGCCCCACCTGGGCTGGCCTGTAATGTGCGTTCTGCCCTTAATACCCATTCAGGAGGAGAAGGCAGCTCCTCCGTCTTGCTTTTATGCTGACACATTTTCAAACGGCTGGAACAATGTGTGTGCAAGATTGTTCCCTGGCCACGGAGGGGGGACGTGAACGCGGGGAGCAGTACCAAGGGTGGCTGCTCGGAAATGGTGCGAAGTCACTGTAATGATCAACAGCAGCACCGAGAGACCGTCTGGGCAATGAGAAGGGAGCTTAACGTTCTTAAGCGCAGAGTGTATCCATGGTGGGAGGGGGGACAATGAGGACTCTGTAAAGGGAGCAAACATGACACAAAAGCCATTCCCAGAATATAAATATCACTAGGGGAGGGAGAGAGGCACAGTTCAAGTTCCTTACAGTACCATTTTGAGCATCCAGTAGCATCTCAGTTAGCAGTTCCTCCAGGATGTGCTGGTATTTTTCCAGCTGCCTAGCGTTGAGCCGCATTCCAGTTTCTCCAGGTGCAGTCAGCTGTGAAGGAAAGCATAGTTAACAAAAAAGGGAAAATGGAGCGGGGGGAGATGGATAACCACACCTCCTACTTTATCGATGTTGAAGAACAAGGGATCTTGTGCACAGAATTAAGTGCTACAACTTGGTGGAAGCCACTAGAAGTTGTAGCACTAGGAACAAGCTGGAAGTTCCGTCACATGGAATAAAGCTGGGCTGATTTAGTTTCCTATTTGGGGCTTGATCCTGCACCGTTCAAATCGATGGGAGTTTCCCCACGGACATGAATGGGAAGAGGGACTGCAGCCTTAGTACGGTCGACATTGACACAGACTGGGTCTTCACAAGGGATAAGTGGCCTTGAGGGCAGTCCTTGAACTATTTACTCACTCTTGGGTTGCTAGATGTCCCAGAGTTTCAATCCATTGGGTCATCCAGATGTTGGCTTGGAAATGTAGGCGGATAGGCCACTGGCAACGAACAGCATACGGCCTCTGCAATTAGCAGAGGTCCCAAAGGAGAAAGTGATCCTTGAACTTGATAACCCCCCGTGTTGCAACTCTTTCTCAGGTCAGTCGTTCTATTGACTCCGATGCCTGAGTAAGAGCTGTAGGACGAGGCACATTTCTGCATCCAGCACCTCAGGACAGTTGTTGCTAGGATGTAACAAAAGTGAACGAGTTGCTCAGGCCACATTTGGGGGTGGTGGTCAGACACCAGGATGTGCCTGGTATTTAATGTTTAAAACTGAGAATGCTCAGTGTTTAGACACTAATATTAGACAGTTTTGGAAGAGCAGACGTGTTAACTAATGTCCTGGCCAAATTTCAACTCAACTAGACTTTACATCCTACCTAGCTACATTTCCCGTGGATCCACATTCTTTCTCCTTTCCCTTTGCTGATGATGAAGAATAGTGATGTTTCCAACCCAGAAGTGGCTGCACTGCCTGGTGGGTGAAACTATCCCTGGGTTGTAATAGAGGAGCCCAATTTTCTAACTTGGGTGACTGAGCAAACGTGCCTCCAAGGGCTCAGATCAGCACGCAGATGCCTAAAAAAACTTGGACTTTCAGAAAACCTTTGACAAGGTCCCTCACCAAAGGCTCTTAAGCAAACTAAGCAGTCATGGAATAAGAGGGATAGTCCTCTCCTGTATCACTAACTGGTTTAAAGACAGGAAACAAAGACTAGGAATAAATGGTCAGTTTTCAGAATGGAGAGAGGTAAATAGAGGGGTACTCCAAGGATCTCTACTGGGACCAGTGCTGTTCAACATATTCATAATGGTCTGGAAAAAGGGGTAAACAGCAAGGTGGCAAAGTTTGCAGATGGTCCATAATTACTCAAGATACATGCAAAGCAGACTGTGAAGAGTTACAAAGGGATTTCACAAAACTGGGTGATTGGGCAACAAAATGGCAGATGAAATTCAGTGTTGATAAATGCAAATTGGAAAACATAATCCCAACTATACATACGAAATGATGGGATCTAAATTAGCTGTTCTCACTCAAGAAAGAGATCTTGGAGTCATTGTGGATAGTTCTCTGAAAACATCTGCTCAATGTGCAGTGGCAGTCAAAAAAGTGAACAATGTTAGGGACCATTAGGAAAGGGAAAGATAATAAGACAGTAAATATCATAATGCCCCTATATAAATCAATGGAACGCCCACACCTCGAATACTGCGTGCTGTTCTGGTCCCCACATCTCTCAAAAGATATATTAGAAATGTAAAAGGTACAGAGAAGGGCAACAAAAATGATTAAGGGTATGGAACAAGTTCCAAATGAGGAGAGATTAAAAGACTGGGATTGTTCAGCTTGGAAAAGATACAACTAAGGGGGGATATGATAGAAGTCTATAAAAATCATGACTGGTGTGGAGAAATTGAATAAGGAAGTGTTATTTACCCCTTCACATAACACAAGAACCAAGGTCACTCAATGAAATTAATAGTCAACACGTTTAAAACAAAACAGAAGGAAGTATTTCTTTACACAATGCACAGTCAACCTGTGGAAATCATTGCTAGGGGATATTGTGAAGACCAAGAGCATAGTTGGGTTCAGAAAAGAATTAACTACATTCATGGGGATAGGTCCATCAATGGCTATTAGCCAAGATGGTCAGGGACGCAACCCCAAGCTCTGGGTGTCCCTAAGCCTCTGATTGCCAGATGCTGGGACGGGATGATAAGGGACGGATCACATGATGATTGCCCTGTTCTCTTCATTCCCTGGGAAGCACCTGGCATTGGCCACTGTCAGAAGGCAGAATGCTGGGCTAGATGGCCCAATATGATCTTATGTTCTAAAACAGGTATTTTTCTGCCCCAGAGTGCTGATTTAAGAGTCCAACAGTGAAGCTGGATGGACTCAAGTTTGTAAACTTGGTACCCGCTCTACAAGGTCCTTAGGAATCCTGCAGGTTCAAAGGTGCTGGACAATTCACAGGTGATAACAAGCCTACTTTAGTAAATATCAAGATAAATCCCAAACCAAAAGCCAGAAGCAGACTTGCAAAATCCTGAGCAGCAGTAGTAGGTGTTTATTGAGAGGTAAATAAAAGATCGGTAGATTTTTCACCATTAGTATGCCAGGCAGGGTAAGTAGACTCAGGGGCTGAGCTACGAAATTTTCAAGACAATTTTTTAAGGCTGAGGTGCACCCTGCACCCATCTTCTGATGTAAACTTGCTCAGTGCCTGGGTCCAGTTTGTAGGAATTGGGTAGTATCCCTTTAAACAATTCCTAAGCCTGCTAGTGGCACTCACTTACTGTCTTCTATTGCAGAAGCCACCAGAACCTAACAGAGCAGCAGCATACATATATAGGTAGGTCTCATATGTTTGTATCTGGTCAGCCAACGTGGTTATTGGACACCCAAATGCACCTGTGTGGTTTCCTCATATACTTACGGGTCCCCTCCACCATTCCCCTCACCTTGATGATCCCGCCCTCGTCCACACGCTCCACGTCAGAGAGCTCGGTAATGTCTCCGCCTTCTGATCGCTTCTGCAACATCAGGGATTTCTTCTGCGCTTTGTTCCTCTGTTTCTCCTGGAGCTACACGGCAAGGTACAGTAAAGAACAAACACCAAGGATCAGGAAGGTCACAGGGACAAGGGTCAGGGTGGGGCAGAGTGGCTGCTTGTTCAGCAAAGGGTGAAGCACGCTGGAGTAGGGTCCATGGAGCAGCTCCATGGCCGTGAGTTGACCTGGTGGAGGGGAATCCACATGCAGCGGAGCTCTCCAGCACCTAGCTGAGTCACTTGGGCTAAGAGCAGGGAGCAGGATTTGGACCTGGGTTTGCAAATGGGAATTCCTTTCCTTACAAATCCCCTGCTCCCTTTGCATGGTTCATCTCTTACTGGTGCCGCCTTGTCCTTGCTGCTGGTGCCGCTCCGACATGACACCAGCTGTTATTCCGGTACCAAGCGCATCCCTTGGCAGATCAAGAGAGCCAGCTGGTGTATCCTTCACCTGTGAGAACTGCCAAGCTGAACAGGGCATTGAACCAGAGAAATAAGAAACCAGCGAAACCTAATGAGTCACCTTTAGTCCATCCCCTGGGAACCAGTGCAGGATTATTCCCTGCCGTCCGCCTGATCCAGTGCCCATTGGAAAGACTCCCATTGATTTCAGTGGACACTGGGTCAGACCCTATCATACAGAAAAAAGTCAAAGAGCTGATATCCCTTGGGTGGGCACTGGGCTCAAACCAACCTTTCAGTTAACAGCCTAAAGCTCTACGGCGTGACCCAGTAGAAGGTAACTTCTTTGATCTGCTAAGAGACGTGGATGCGCACTGGTGGCCAGAGAAGCACGGCAGCCAAGTGGATTGAGCTTGGGGTTAGGCATTTCTGACTCCTAACCCGGGTTCTGCCACTGGCTCCTTGTGTGACCTTGAGGAAGTCATGTCAGCCCCCCGTACTTCTGTTTCCTCATCTGTAGAATAAATACTGATACTCAGCAGCATCGTGGAAGGGGTGCTGAGGTTTAATTAGTCTATTCCTGTCCAGCCCCTTTGCCAGCATCAAGCACGTCACTCGTGCTATGTGTTATTAATAGGCCATTCTGGGGCGGGTTGTGTTGTCCCTCTATGATATATGCAATGAAATCCCTGCTCAGCGCAAACCCCAGGAGAGCAGCAAAAATTGAGGGGGGTTGAAAGGTTTCATACTATGGTTTTGGGAACCCGCTGGGGGGGCTTTGGAGTGGTTGTTCAAGGCAGGGTCTGTCTGTTGGAGGTGGGTCCGTAGCGCTGCCCTAACTGCCACACTGAATTTTAAAAGGGGTATTTTCAGTGTGAGAGAGGCAGATTTTGGACAACAAATAAGAGGGACTCCCCTCTCGCCCCAGAGGACTCTTGATTGTGATGAGCACCCCAGGGGGAAGCGAGTTTGTATGGGCTACTGATGAATGATACACTGCAAAAGTCCACATCAGTGTACATTCTGTAGGCCAGTGCGGAGACACAATGGGGAAGCTTTCATGGTTGCTTCCCATTTCTCATTAGTTAGCCTTATTGTTTAAACTGGAGCCACATACTTCCCCTTGCCTCTGATAGTGGTGAAGAATGACCATGCTACACCCAAGAAGCGGCCGCATGGATGCTCAGCAGACACACCAAGGGAAGAATAGGCCATCCCTGCTAATTCCTAGACAGGGGGTGAAATCCTGGCCCCATTGAAGTCAAGGGGAGTATGGCTAATTATTTCAATGGGGCCAGGATTTGACCCATGGTCTCTCCAAGATGAAGCACATCAGTGAGGTGGAGGTGGTGGTGGGTGAGAAGCTTGCCTGTGCTGTGTGAAAACAGAGAACATCAGGCTCTAGGGCTGTCAGCTTGGCATCTTTCAGTAGCATTAGTTTCACATCAAAAGAAAAGGATTTTCCTCTATGCGTGTCCCAGAACTGAAACCTATTTGGCGCATGGTTAATTATTTGTTAGAACAAAGAGGCACAGCAGAATTATGACGGGAGACTGCAGCTTCTCCATAAAAATCCGAGCCATTAGCAATTATAAAAGAAAACTGTTAAAAAATATCCACAGACGAATGTAAATGGGCCTTTTGTTTCCACTATCCTATTTTATGTTCAACGGAATCCTGGCTCTTGCAGTCTAATCCTGAGTCTTTCACTCAAAATCCTCTGCGGGACTGGTGAATAAAGTGCTTCCCACACTGTGAGGATCCTGTAAGTTGCCCTGCCGAGCACATCCCAGTACTGCTGTGGGACCTGTCGTGCTACGGGGAGTCTGTTCCAGCTACATTTCCACTAGAGATGGACTTGAGAGAGCTGGTCTGAACCTTTGACCCACTGAGAGCTTTACATGAGTAAGAACTATGTTGGCCTGAGGTTCGTCTTCCATTGAAAGCCCCAGCTAAGAAAAGCATTGCTCTTCAGGCAAGCACATAAATGTGTGTTTAAAGTTAAGCCCAGGCTTACACGATTTCCTGAATCAGGGCCAAAGTCAGCCCTCTGAGCACGCTTGTAGACGATTACCCTATAAGTACAGTCTTAGGCTGTTGCCTGACAGGTTGGTGGTTTGAACCCTCTCAAGGGATACCAGCTCCACCACAGCACCACTGAGAATAAACTGAGCCAGTTCCCCTGGACTTGCCCCACTTTTCCAACAACACGGGCTTAAAGAAATCATCCCCCTTGTCTTTTCTCACCTGCGCTGCGTGAGGCCTGGCACCGGCGCACTGGAGGATTTAGTGGGTTAGCACACTAGCCCTTCACCTCTGGAGACTGGTTGGCTCAAGGCATACGAGAAATGGGCCTGCTGCAATCAGCCCAACCCCTAGTGGATGATGAGGGTCATCTGGGTGTGTTCTCATTCAATCAATTCCCTGCCACCGCAGGGGCCTCAGGCATTAGTGCACCTCAGTGCCTCCTGTTCTCTACCCGTGGCACAAAATAGTTTAGTCTCATGAGGGCTGTGATACTTTGGTCTAATTCTGGTGGTTGGGGTTGGTGTGGAAGTGGCTGGGTTGTAGGTAGTGGCCTCTGCCTGACAGGTGGTCAGACTAGCTCTGGTGGTCCCTTCTGGCCTTAAACTCGATGAATCTATGACTGGCAACATCATGAAACCATCTATCAAACAGGCACTGTCTCTGCTCAGAGGGGATGAACTATGAGCTACGCATGGGAAGCATGCACAGGATGCACCTTTCTGCACCACACGGGGCTCTGGCCATTGCAGTATGGTGCTCAGGGGTTACCTGCATCCTCTCGATGTCGCTGCGAGTGAAGAAGGCTAGGTAGCCTTCAGTCTGTTCAGCCAGCATGGCCACCACGTACACCACCAGCAGAGAAGCCACCACCTTCCTCGAAACCATCATGGAGCTTGAGAAAGCCTGAGCAACACAGGAGAGGGGAGGGTCAGAACATGCCAGCAGGGATGGCTGCCTCCTGCGGTGCACAGCAGTTCAACCAACATCAGGAACAAAGAGCCACGTCCAGAAAGGAATAACCCTGAGTTATAGTTCAGACAATTTATCCTTCCTGGGACACGGAGCTTGGGTTTAATAAACAACTTTCTTTGGCCTTTATTTCTGATCAATAGCCATAGACTTCATATTTGTTCTCCAAGCTGCTTCTGTCACTGACATTAGGTGTTGAGTGACAGTCTAACATCCCCTTGAGGGCCTGACCTCCAGCCAATGGCCCACTCCTAAGAATGATAAACACCCCACAATTGTAACTCTCACTTCCCTACAGGATTGACCCCCACACGGTCTACACCCAGTGAACCATATGATTTGGCAGCTGGGGATGCTTACCTGGTATAGGAGGCAAAGTGCTCTCAGCAAGCACTTGGGTAAAGATACCTGGGCTTGTTTGCACCTGCTTTGCACAGCACAGAGCTGGGAAACTTCACCGGCTGGGAAGCATTTCTCAGTTCATACAAAGGAAAACTGCTTTGGAGTCTGAACATTTTCATTTAGATTTTGCATTTGGGAGCACTCTCCTGGCAGCCCTCATGCTGCCGAAAAATGATCTGGAAGGAAGGTTTCCCCCAAAGTCCCCGGAACTCTGCGTTGCTGAACAAAACAAATGTCTAAAGGTTCGGGCTGAGATTTCCAAAAGTGACTGGTGATTTTGGGTGCCCAACTTGAGACACCTTAAAAGAGGCCTGTTTCCAAAGGGCAGGTGCTCAGCATTGCCTGCATATCAGGCCCCTTTATGCTGGGCAGTGAGTCCCCAAAATCACCAGCTGCTTTTGAAAATCTTGGCCTAAAAAACGTATGGAGCAACTGCAGGCTGAGGAGGGCCTGGTCTGACTTACACTGAGACGTGAAGTGTACATTTGCATGTCTCTAGTTAGAATGACGTCCTGGCTATAAGGTGCACATACCCATTGAGTTCCCCACCTTGAGATGGTTGCGGTGTCTAGAATGTCTTCCCTTTGGCAAGCAGAGTTTGGAACTGTGCCAGCTTTTGACAGGCTGCTTTGACTACTGCATCATCCTAAAACACATGAACGCCCTCTGAACTTGCAGCAGCTGTGACTGACAGCCGCCTCGTCTTCTTCATAGGAGGGTCATCTAAGCCGACTGGACTTCTAAACTCCCACCTCTAGAATGCAACAGTTTTAAGCTCTGAGACAGCAAGGGACCAACTGGTTCATTGGAACATTGACTTCACTGGGACTCCTTGCCTGCGTAAGACCCTTGCTGGATCGGGGCCTGACTTAACAAAGAGGCAGCTTCATTTTCTAACCAAGAGCCAGAGGAAGGGCCACCTTCAAGCACCTCGGTGCAGTTCAAGCCGTGAGCCTCTCGATTCCCAGCCTGACTTCTAGCAGCCTGGAAGATGAACACAGAAGAGGATGTGGGGCACAGGAAATCAGCTCCAGAGGAGAAATCCTGCCTTTATGCAGTGAAAGGGAAGGTTCCACGCAGCCCTGCCTAGAACTCCTCCAACAGACTCCGGTTTAAGTGCGGGCTTCCATGAAGCAGGTTCTTATGTAATACCAGTTGTTTGCACTTTAAATTGTATACACAGCACTTGATGAATGCTTGGGTTTTGCTAGCTGGATAATTAATAATTAATAAACAGGTTTAATATAACACTTTGTATTCCTGACGTTGTCCCCAAAGATCTCCAAGTGCTCTACTGCATTATCCCCATCTTACAATTGGGGAAACTGAGTCATGGAGAGGCAAAGTAACTTGCCCCCGGTTACTGAGTCAATGGCAGAGCTGGGAACAGAACGAAGGGGTCGTGCTTTAGGGAGTGGGGTCTAGTGGTCAGAGCAGAGTACAGATCCTATGCTCTAACTCTGTCCCTGAGTTGAGAATACAACCCAGGAGCCCTTATTAACAGGACTGCTCTCTAAGCACTGCACACTGCCATTTCTCATGAATGGGTCTGTTCCTGGGCAGTAACTTCCTACGTTTAAAACACAGTCCTATGGAGCATTTAATACCTATTCAGTTTTGCCAGTGTTATGCCTCCGTTACAGTGTGTATGAAATCCAGACTTGCCCAGGGGAAAATGTTTCAAGCTACCGCACTGAGCTTCCATAGTGAGGGAAGTGTCATGATTTGGCAGCTTTAGTATAACTGTTTTACTATAATTATTTTATTTTCCCTCAATAAATTTTAGGGGAGGAGGGAGATCAAGCCAGCATGCTAGTGTCTCTAATCCCATAAGGGACCTATAAGACAGTATGGGCAACTCCCACAGGTGGGCTGAACCCCTTAATAAATCTTGCTAGGTCATACAGAGCTGCAGACATCATTTGCCACCCGAGCTCTACAGGAAACCAGTTTAAAGGGATTTAAAAACCAGTTTCCAACCTGATTTAACAGCAATTTCACATCAGAGGGAGGATTTATGTAAACATTAAATCTCCTCTTTAAATATTAAAACGTTCTCTCTTGAACACATTTAATGAAGTCTGGTCCCACTATGTAACTGCTTTACTCAATTTTTTCCTGATCCTTAATTATTTTTAAAAAGCTTTTGGTTGAGGCATTATTAAAGGGACACTGTCAGGTCAAATCTGGCCCCAGAATTAGATTTCATGTAAATATAAACTTGTACAGACCAATAGAAACTAACAAATATTCCCTCCCACAGCGTTTGCCACCCGATCATTTTGGCATTGTGCTAGCACAGGAAAGCCAACAAGGAGCCATCTCAGATGCCACTGAATAAAAAACACTAGAACTTATGTATCAGATCACAGTCTGTGCTGGTCTTGGGTCTGCTTCTCCACTGTTCTGCACTAAGTGTTGTCATTTACACCTGTGCAAAATGCTACCAAAACAGAATGGTAGGGCCAGATTCTAAGGTGGTGTCAACTGGTGTCGCTCCATTGACATCAATGGAGCTGTGTTGATTTACACCAGCGAAGGATCTGGCCCAGTAGTGGATTACCCCCAAATTGCGTTCACTTTGCACAGGTGCACATGACTTTGTGAGGTTTGGGGCAACAGAAGCTCGGCCCCCCTCTGCAACAGGGGCCAGTCCCAGTTGCTAAAAACTCCCACAACAGACAATTCTGTAATATCCTGCCCACATGGTGAGGTTTCTTCCTGACCCTAGGCAGTTAGTGGCTGGCTTATCAGACCTACTGATTGCATTGGGAGATTCTGCTGTAAAATCAGTTGCACTACATGACCCAGTGATGTGCAGCAATCGCTTGGCTGTACTGATCAAAAGGGGATTGCCTAGGTCTGTCCTTAAAACAGGATTCTACCATGCTTATGTCCTGATGCACATTATCTCGCAATAGGATCATTCTTTTGTGTCACCTGATTTATTCCGTAACATCAATAAACTACTGCCCCCCCACCCCAAAATACCCCAGTCACTTCCTTCATCTCCCACTTACTACCCCTTTGTGAAGCCGTTCTCTCTCTGTTCCTGGAGAAACGCTCCTGCTTTTTTACTTTATCCAGCCAGCCAGTCTACTGAACATCCCTTCCTTACTTTGTAAACTGGACACGTCTTTCATATTTTAAGGCTCCAGCTCAGCGCCTCCCCAGGCGAATCTATAGCTTGCTGTTTGAGAGTTACTTTCACAGGTAGCGTTTGAAAGTGCCAAGAGGGAAGATTCCAGGGTGGGCATCAGTACAGCATGGTATTCTGGGCACTTTGGCCCGGATTCTACACTGCCCTGCACCTTGCATTGGCATTTCCGGTAAAATGCCACCATTGTGATCTGGGACCTTTGGTCTAAAATGACAACACAACTCATAGCACAATGAGCAATCAAGCCCTTTATCCCCTGAGCATTGGCTCAGGATCAGTGAGGGACATCAAAAGGTTAATTTAGGCAGAAGTTGCATCTGCTCCATCTCTTGTGTTCAGGGCATCTCCTGGAGCGCTCTATTCCCATAAGACTCCCTGAGTCTCTGCCACATATTCCACTGTCTGATGGGTCTAACAGGCAGGTAATGAGAATGGAGTCAGTTTAATCAATGCTCATACAGAGAGGGAAGTGCAGAAAGCACCTTCTTCCTGGATTAAACAGTGATGTTGATCCCCCTTATTAGGCTTGAGGCATCTCTCCTGTTTAAAAGTTTCTGTTGAGCTGCAATCAACTAACTCTTGCCATGGCAGCTCTGTGGGTGGCAGGGTAGGCTGGATTGGCCCTTCCTATCTCTGAGAGTTCAGCAGGATGTATCTGAATGGAGACTGAGAGCAGCATCAGCAGCAGCCTCATTAGCAACAAGAAATTAAACTCCATGGAAAAATGGATGCAAGATCCCAGAATAGGAGAGAAATCAGAGAGGAGAAGAGCTTAGATACCACGATAATGGGCGTTACTGGAGGGGGGGACTAAGAGAGGAATTGTTGGAGGGCAAATGATGTTAAAGGAAGGAAGAGAGGAAAGAGACCAGGGGACAAGGCACAATAATAACGATAACCCCAAAATGGAAAAGATCTTCCCCCTGAGGAGCTCAACGTGCTTTAAAATCTCCAGGGTGAAATTCACTGCAAGAGATCTATGTGCCATTGAAGCCCCACTTGTAATAGGGTTTATCTAGAATAGCGTTTTGTGCAGGATCTCTGCACAGGGGTGAATTTCACCTAATAGTGAACTAAATCTCCACCCCCCTCCCAATGAAGTTGGTAAATATCATCATCCCCATCTTACAGAGAGGGATGTGAAGCATGGAGACCCCCCGGTCCACAAAACATGCTGGAGAACCCATGAGTCCTGAGTCCCCATCCTCAGCTCTAGCATCGGGACCATCCCCAGATGGGAAGAGGCTGTTTCTCTTATTAGAGGCATACAGTTCAAGGTGCACGTAAGGGAACCAGGGATGATCACTAGAACCGGTGAGAGAAATTTAAATGGAACCATAGTCCACTGGAACATGCAGCTCTGCCAAAATCAAAAAGCTCAATTTTGTCAGAATTTTGTTTTGGAAGAAAACCAGAGGGAAAAAATAGTTCTGGCAACATT